TCAAGGGGAAGGTTGTTTCCTGAATGTAACTGCACTGAGGCTGCTGTTTTTAGACTGGGGTTTTGATTAACTTTTCGTTCACTATTGTTTTCGGAAAAGCTTGACTATTTCTGGTTTTGATTCCTTCCTGGGATGTGGGTGTTGGTGCCAAAATGGGAGTTTTGTTACTTGTCCTGAATTTCCCCTGGGGTATAGTGAGCGGTGTTGTGTGTGGGTGCGGCTGTGTGTGTGTGAGGGTGTGTGTGTGGGTGTGTGTGTGTGTGTGGGTGTGTGTGTGTGCGTGAGGGTGTGTGTGCGTGAGGGTGTGTGTGCGTGAGGGTGTGTGTGTGTGTGTGTGTGTGTGTGTGGGTGCGGCTGTGTGTGCGTGAGGGTGTGTGTGTGTGTGTGTGTGTGTGTGTGTGGGGGTGTGGTTAACACCCAGAGCGGTTTTTGGGAATGGGGGATCCATGAATAAAACTCCCAATTTCCCATTTGCATGTTGTCACGGTAACTATGTGACTGAAAGTCTTGAATGAATTTAATTTTGGTGATGGAAATTAAAGATGAAATAATAAAGAGAATTAGTCTGAGCTCTATTTTCTTTTGATTTCGTGGTTAATTTTTTTTATTCATTCATGGGATGTGGGCATCTCAGCCTGGGCCCAGCGTTTACTGCCCAGTCCCTAGTTGCCCCCTTGAGAAGGTGGGGGTGAGCTGCCTCCTTGAACCGCTGCAGCCCATGTGCTGTGGGTTGACCCACAATGTCCCTTAGGGAGGGAATTCCAGGATTCTGACCCAGTGACAGTGAAGGAACAGGAATATATTTCCAAGTCAGGATGGGGAGGGGCTCGGAGGGGACCTTGCAGGGGGCTGGTGTTCCCACGTATCTGCTGCCCCTTGTCCTTCTGGATGGAAGTGGGTCGTGGGTTTGGAAGGTGCTGCCTGAGGATCTTTGGTGAGTTTCTGCAGTGCATCTTGTAGATGGTACACACTGCTGTTACTGAGCGTCGGTGGTGGTGGGAGTGGGATGTTTGTGGATGTGGTGCCAGTCAAGCGGGGGCTGCTTTGTCCTGGATGGTGTCGAGCTTCTTGAGTGTTGTTGGAGCTGCCCCCATCCAGGGGCAAGTGGGGGGTATTCCCTCACACTCCTGATTTGTGCCTTGTAGACGGTGGGACAGGCTTTGGGGAGTCAGGAGGTGAGTTACTCACCACAGGATTCCCAGCCTCTGACCTGCTCTTGCAGCCACTGTGTTTACGTGGGGAGTCCGGTTTCTGGTCAATGGTAACCCCCAGGATGTTGATAGTGGGGGATTCAGTGATGGTAACACCATTGAATGTCAAGGGGTGGTGGTTAGATTCTCTCTTATTGGTGATGGTCGTAGCCTGGCATTTGTGTGGCACAAATGTTACTAATTTGAGAATCAAATCTCCCTCTTTCAGTGACTGGTGGTCATGCAGCGTGCAGTCAATAAGCTGCCCTATCCTGGACTGGGTCAGAGTACTAATCTAACTGCACCAGCCAGGGTACTGTTTGTAAGAAGGGTCTACAGCTGCATCAGCGCCCTGGAAAATCCCATTGTCCCTCTTTGTAATGAAGGGCTGTTATTGGCCTGTTTTTACAGTCAGTGTCTGACAGATTACAACCGAGAGTGGCCCACTCAGCCCTTCGAGCCTGCTAGCCCATTCAGTAAGATCAACGCAGATCAGCTTTGAAATTCGCTCTGCACATTCCCCAATGATCTTCCGTCCTCTTGTGTGTCAAGAATTTATCCACATCTGCCTTAAAATAAATAACTGAAGATTCCACACGCTTTTGAGGAAGGGAATTCCAAGACCCTCAACCCTCGGAGAGAGAAGCCCTGTTTCCTTCTCTCTGTTTTAAATGGGCTACCCCTGATTTTTAAACTGTGATCCCCTGGTTCTACATTATCCCACAGCCGCATCCCCTCCACAGTAACACTCACCACTGGAGCGCCCCCCGCACCTCCAAGGATGTGTCCTCAGCCCCCTACTGTACTCCCCGTACACCTCCAATTGTGTTCTCAAATTCCGAACAAAGCCATCTACAAGTTTGCTGATGACACCACCGTTGTGGGATGACTATCTAACAATGCTGAGTCAGAATACAGAAGAGAGATAGAGGGATGGTGTTATGGTGCAATGAAAACAATCTGTCTCTCAACGTCAGCAAAACTAAAGAACTGATCGTTGACTTCAGAAAGAAAGGGGGAGAACACGCACGCATCTACTTCAATGGAACTGAGGTTGAGAGAGTGAACAGCATCAAGTTCCTCGGAGTGATGATAAACGACAACCTGTCCTGGAATTCCCATGTAGATGTGACAGTCAAGAATGCCCAACGACGCCTCTTCTTTCTTAGGAGGATCAGGAAATTTGGCAGGTCCATAAGGTCCCTCCCCAACTCCTACAGATGCACCATTGAAAGCATCCGGTATGTGTGCATAACGGCCTGGTACGGCAACTGCTCTTCTCAGGACTGTAAGAAACTACAGAAGGTGGTGTGTACAGCCCAGACCATCACAGAAGTCAACCTTCCATCCACGGACTCTATTTACACGGCTCGCTGCCGTGGAAAGGCTGCCAACATCAAAGACCCATTACACTCCAGTAATGATCTCCTACAGCCTCTTCCATCGGGTAGAAGGTACAGAAGCCTGAACACATGCACCAGCAAGTTCAGGAACAGCTTCTTTCCGGCCGTTATCAGACTGATGAATGGACTCTCCAGCCTCAAATAACGCTGATCTTCCTAATGATGATCTCTCCTAGTGCACGCCCTGTGCAATGTAACCATGTTCCCCTGTCTCAGTCACTTTGATCCATACATCCTTTGCTTACTGTGATCTGCCTGTACCGCTCGTAAACAAAGCTTTTCACTGTACTCCGGTACACATAACAATCAATCAATCAAACCAAAGCAGAAATATCCTTATCCACATCCACCTGGTCAAATTCTCTCAGGGTCTTATCTGTTTCCACTCAGTCCCCTCTGACTCCTCAAGTCATAATTAGCCCATCCAGCCTCTCCTCATCAGGTAATCCGCCCACTCCATGGATTAATCTGGGAACTGCTCCCGACACATTAACATCCCTGTGTAAGTATGGAGACCAGGGCTGTCTACAGGGGAAATGGGGTTGGGTTCCCTGGTGATACCACGGTGAGAGAGTGAGGTGCTGTGGGTGTGGATGGTGTGTTGTGAGGGGGGACCTGTTACTGTCGGCTGTAATAGTGGCTTCAAACCCGCTCCCCGTGAGATGGCAGGGAATGTAAGGGCAGGGGCAGCAGATACATGGGAACACCAGCCCCCTGCAGGTTCCCCTCCGAGCCACTCCCCATCTTGACTTGGGAATGTATCGCCGTTCCTTCAGCATCGCTGGGTCAGAATCCTGGAATTTCCTCCCTAAGGGACATTGTGGGTCAAACCTACAGCATATGAGCTTTGGCGGGTGGGGTTGGGGATGCAGGGAATCTGCAATTGGATCCAACTGCTCTACACCAACATCGTTGGTGCACTCTCAATCAATGGATGGGAATCAGAAAGCTTCCCGATCAGATCTGGAGTCAGGCAGGGTTACCACTCTCTCCTGCCTTGTTTGTGTGTTGTATAGGGCACTTTGCTGAGACCATCATGAAGATGTGAGCCTGAGAAGGGTGACTATTCCAGGCACTGGGGGCCTGCAGGTCAAAACCTCCCTGTACATGGATGACGTTGCCATTTCCTGTTCAGATCCTCTGTCAGTGCACGTACTCATCAACGTCTACCATCAGTCTGAACAGGCCTCAGGAGCCAAGGTAAATCGATGCAAGAGCAAGGCCATGTTCCTCGGGAACAGGGCCGACTAATTCTTTATCCCCTTCATCATCATCAGGACAGATTATCTGAAGGTGCTGGGAGTATGGTTTGGAGGGGCTGGGGCATGCACAAAATCTTGGGAGGAGCCCATTGCCAATGTGAGGCCAAAACTGGTCTTTTGGGATCATCGCTCCCTGTGCATTGCTGGTACAAACCTGGTCATCAGATGTGAGGCACTCTCTCTGTGTTGTATACGTGGAATGGGTTTGGCCCATTCCCAGAACCTGCCCCATTACAGTTCCACCCCCCCACTTTACCTGGAGGTCTAAGGTGGGCCATGCCATTCGGCCCATTTACAGGGGCCCTGAGTGTTTCCGCAGTCCCTTTGCTCCCCGCTGGGCCTGTCCACCCCCACCCTCACCCCCCCACCCCGTCCCCGTCCCTGTCCCTGCCTTCCCTCCCTCCCCTCTCCAGCCTCAGCCACCACCTCCAGCAGGATTACAATACGCATCGCGGGCACTAAGTGTGACTGAAGTGGGCAGCGGGTTGTAAAAGGGACTGCGCTCCGTGTGGGATCTTACTGTGCTACCAGCGATGGCTACAGCTGGTAATGCCCCCTCTCCCCCCCCCCCCCCCCCCCCCCCCCCCCCCCAACGTGTCGCGGAATGATTGCACAGTGCGACATTGAGGCAATTCTGCCCGTAACGTGTATACTAGCTCTTCCCAGAAGGCTCACCGTGTTGCAGTGGGCCCATGTCCTGCCTGGTCCCCAGCCTGCCTGCCCCGTTTCTACCCCAGGGCCCTTCTGGGAAGCCTTGATTGAACCTGACCCCCTCTCCCCCAACAATCCCGCACCCCCCCGCCCACCCACCCTCCACACCCTCACTGCCCATTGGGTGAGACAGGAGCCTTGCGTTTGCTTCTTTTGCAAAACCCTCTGATTCCTGATCCATTTGGGAAGGGGGACCGCACCCACCCCCACCCCACGTAGGGGTTTGAAAAATTCTCTCAGCTTTTTCCTCGGGTGAGACAGGGTGGGACCCTTACCCCCTGGGGTTTAGCAGAATGGGAGGTGGTTTCACTGAAACAAGGTCAGTGCTGAGAGGGTATTCCTCCTCATTGTGGGGGGGGGATCTACGACCAGGGAACACAGTCTCTGAATAAAGGGGGCACCAATTTCAGGCTGAGATGGGGAGGTATCTATTCTCTCAGGGAATTGAGAGTGCCGGTCACAGAGAGCTGTGGGTGGGGGAGACGCAGGTCCATTTTGTATATTTAAGGCTGAGATCGATGGGTTCCCGATCAGTCGGGGAATCGAGGGGAAAAGGGCAGGAAAGTGGACGTGAGGAATGTCGGATCAGCCATGATCCCACTGAATGGTGGGTCAGGCTCGAGGGGCCGAATGGCCTGTTCCTCACAGTCTGGTGGTCTCTCAGGCTTCACCCCTCCAAGGAGAAACATACCGATCCATCCAACCCATTACCCACCCCCACCCCACCATACAGATCCGCCTCAACCCCAGAACCTTTCCTGCAGTCGCTCCCTCCCTCCCTCTCCGTCCCTCTCTCTCTCTCTCTCTCCCCCCTCTCTCGCTCTCACTCCGCCCTCTCTCTCTCTCACTCCCCCTATCTCTCTCTCTCCCTCTCTCTCTCACTCCCCCTCTCTCTCCCTCTCTCTCCCCCCTCTCTCTCTCCCTCCCTCTCTCTCTCTCACTCCTCCCTCTCTCTCTCACACCGCCTATCTCTCTCTCTCCCTCCCTCTCTCTCTCCCCCATCTCTCTCTCCCTCCCTTCCTCTCTCTCTCACTCCCCCTATCTCTCCCTGTCTCTCCCTTCCTCCCTCTCTCCCTCCCTCTCTGTCTCTCACTCCCTGTCTGTCAGTCTTTCTCTCACTCTCATTCACTCCCACTGTCTCTCACTCAATCTCTTTCTCTCTCTCTCACTTTCTCTCACTTTGTAGCTGTCTGTCTCTCTCTGTTTCTCTCCTCACTCACTCTCATTCTGTACCTGTCTCTGCCTGTCTGTCTCTCTCTCTCTGTATTTCTCTGTCTCTCTGTGTCTTTCCCTTTCTCTCTGTCTCTCATTCACTCTGTATCTGTCTCTCACTCTCATTCTCTCTCATTCACTTTCTCACTCTTACCTGATCCTCTCTCTGTCCCTGTTTATCTCTCTCATTTTGTCTCTCTCTGTCTCTATGTTTCTCTCTCTCTGTCTCTCTCTCAGTCTGTGTTCTCTCACACTGTCTCTCTTTAAGTATATATATAAAACTATCTCTAACTGTCTCACTCACTGTCCCTTACACTTATCTGTCTCTGTCTCTCCCTCCCTGTTTCTCTCCCTTTCTCTCTCTCTTCCCGTCCCTCCTTCTCCCTCTCTCACCATCTCTCTCTTCCTTTGTCCCCACGTCTCTCTCTCTCTCACCCCGTCTCTCTCTCTCTCCCCGTCTCTCTCTCCCTCTATCTGTCTCTCTCCTCTCTCTTTCTCCCTCCCTCTCACAATCTCTCTGCCTTTCACTCTCACTCCGTCCCTCTCTCTCTGCCTCTGTCTCTCTCTCTCACTCCCTTTCTGTCACTCTCTCTCGCTCTTATTTGTCTCTGCCTCTCTGTCTCATTCGGTCTGTCTTTCTTTCTCACTCTCTGTCTCTTTCCCTCTCTCACTCTCTCTCCTTCCCTCTCTCTCCCTGTCTGTTTCTCCCTATTTCTCTTTCTCTCCCTCTCCCCGCTTTCTCTCCCCGTCTCTCTCTCGCAATCTTCCCGTCTCTCTCTCTCTCCCTCTGTCTCTCTCTCTATCCCTCTGTCTCTCTGCCTCTCTCCTCTCTCTCTCCGTCTCTCTCTCTCTCCCCATCTCTCTCTCTCTCCCCCCTCCCTCTCTTCCCCGTTGCCCCCTCTCTCCTTCTCTCTCCAGTATAATTTAACATTCCTAGTTGGGGGAGGTCTGTTTGTTAGTGACCCCCAGTGTTGGTGGTTTTGAAAATTAACTGGAGCTGGGTTTTTTGTTCACAAGTTCAGTTCTAGGCGAAAGTGAAACTGCTTTCCAGATTCCGAGGGTGAACACCAGACAGAGAGAGAGAGAACAAGAGAGAATGTGAGAGAACGACAGAGGACGAGAGAGCAAGACAACAAGAGAGAGAGTGAGAGAGAACGAGAGAGAGAGGGAGAGAGAGAGAGAGAGAATGAGAGAGAGAGAGAGAAAACGAGAGAGAGAGAGAGAACGAGAGAGAGAGAGAACGAGAGAGATAGAAAATGATAGAGAGAGAGAGGTAGACAAACAGGCCAGGCAGCATCTGGAGGAAAGGAGCAGTCAACATTTCATGTATTAACCCTTCCTCAGGACGGAGAGAGTGAGAGAGAGAACGAGAGAGGGATACAGTGAGACAGAGAGAGTGTGAACGAGAGAGAGAGAATGAGAGAGGGAGACAGAGAGAGAGAGAACAAGAGAGGGACACAGAGAGACAAATAGAGAGAGATTGTGAAAGAGAGAGAGAGAACGATTGAGGGACACAGAGAGAGAGGGGGAGAGAGAACGAGAGAGGGAGACAGAGAGGGAGAGAGTGTGAACGAGAGATGGAGACAGAGAGAGAGGGAGAGAGTGTGAATGAGAGAGGGAGGGAGACAGACAGAGAGAGGAGAGAGTGTGAACGAGAGAGGGAGAGAGGGAGAGAATGTGAACGAGAGAGGGAGACAGACAGAGAAGGAGAGAGGAGGAAGCTGTATGGTGCGACCTACCAGCATGGAGGAAAGTAAATGTGCCGATGGTTTGGCGTTGGAGCTGCTGTGCCCGGGCTGTAAGGGGTTGTTTTCAGACCCTGTAAGCCTGGAATGTGGCCACAGTTTCTGCAGCGTGTGTGTGCTGGAGAAATGGGAGGGTGAGCAAGGGGAAGGGAGGGATGCGGGTGGGGAGAGAGCTTGCCCCTAGTGCCTGGAGACCTTCCTGAACCAGCCAAAGCCGCGACTGAACCAGACCCTGAGCAGCCTGCTGTCGCGGCTGGGGGGGACCAGGTACCACTCGGGGTCTGTACCGCAGTACTGTGTCCTACACCGGGAGCGCATTAAGCTGTTCTGTGAGACCAACAGCAAGCTGATCTGTGTGGTGTGTCGAGAGGAGCAGGCACACAGAGACCATCAGTGCAGGCCTATCAACATCCGCAAGGTAACGTTCTCCCTTTTCGGAACAGGAGGGAGCCATTTGGCCCCACTCCCACAGTCTGTTCCGCCACCAAATGGACGATCTGTCACTAGCTGTGATGCCTCTGGCCCCTATCCTTCTGTTTAACAACAACTTATCGTGCTGTTTGTCTGTCAATGCTGCCTGGCCCTCTGTGATTCCCAGTTTGTCTCTCAGTATCTTCAGTACTCAGCTCCAACTATCTATCCATCTCCGATTTAAAATGAACAACTGTTCCACAATCTGCTGCCGTTTCGTTAGGTAAGTTATTGTCCCGTGTACCGAGGTACAGTGAAAAATTTTGTTTTGCGTGCAGTACAGGCAGACCAGACCGTACATGGTGCATTAGGGTAATAGAGCAGGGGGGTGGGTGGGAGGTGGGCGCAGTGGAGGGCAGACAGAGGAATTCACAAACACGCAGGGGCAGGCCGGAATGCCGCCCACCAACAGGAGAGGGGCAGCGATTGTTAGGAATTGATCGAAGAGGAGACGGAGAGGTGGTGGCGGGGGTCGGGCGGTGGTGGGGAAGGGAGTGTTCCCCACATGCAGTGAATGGGGCGAGGCATCCGGGACGTTTAGTCTCAGATTGTTTGGAGTGGGGTTGACGTGAGAGAATGGGAGCACTGAGAGGGTATGGACTGGCCTTTTCCTGTCGATGACCAGCTCTGAAATTTCTCACTTCCCTCAACAACCAACCCTCAAGATCCAACATGGGGCGATCGATATTTTGGGGGCAGGGGGTTATGGCTCAGGGCAGTTATGCTTTTCGTTTCAGGATCAGCTGAAATCAGAGTTGGAGTATCTGACAGAGAAGGTTGAGCACAAACACAAACCCGGCGTTATCGCAGTGAAGGTAAGGACGAGTGTGGTTCAGAATTCCTGCCCCATCCCTCCCTCCCTCCCTCCTCACCCTGAGGCCTGATACACATCCCTTAACCTCTCCCTCCCTCCCCCCACCATCTCCCCCCTCTGCCCACTTGCTGCTGAAATCATTACCCTCTCCTCCCACAGACTGTATCCACCCCATCGTCCCTGGCCTGAAGCATTTCTCACCAATGGAGGCCATTCAATCCATCTTATCCATGCTGGCCCTCTAAGTCCCACCTTGCTGCAGGTGTACTGGCTCATTGCCCCGTCCCTAGTTGCCCCCCTTGAGAAGGTGGTTGTGAGCTGCCTTCTTGAACCGCTGCAGTCCATGTGCTGTGGGTTGACCCACAGTGTCCCTTAGGGAGGGAATTCCAGGGATTCTGACCCAGCGACACTGAAGGAACAGGGATATATTTCCAAGCCAGGATGGTGAGGGGCTCGGAGGGGAACTTGCAGTGGCTGGTGTTCCCATGTATCTGCTGTCCCTTGTCCTTCTGGATGGAAGTGGTCATGGGGTTTGGAAGGTGCTGTTTGAGGGTCCTTCTGACTGGTACCTGACCAAATGTTGAATTCTAGGAGCCGTTGGGCCATGGGCGATGTTATGCCCACCCCTTAGCTCCTGAGTGTTTGATCTTTTCCAAAATCATATTGGTCTGATCCTTACAGGAGCAGGCAGGTCTCCTGCTGAAACACATCACCTCGGAGTTTGAACAAATCCGGAAAGTTCTGGACAAGAAAGAGAAAGACTTAACCCGAGCTCTTGAAAGAGAAGGAAGAAAGTATCCTACGCACGATTGAGGGGAATCTCGAACAGATTTGGTGCGATCTCGACTCAGTACAGCTGGAGGTGTTGGAGCTGAGCAGGGAGGCTGAAGGAGAAGGATGATCTCGCTTTTCTGAAGGTGATGTCCTGTGATCCGAGTACATTAACCCAGCCTCGGGGCTTGCAAACAGCAGTTCGCAAGTTTGCAAGCATTTCTGAAGACGGGTCTAGGCCCGAAACGTCAGCCTTCTTGCTCCTCTGATGCTGCTTGGCCTGCTGTGTTCATCCAGCTCTACACCTTGTTAGCCCAGGGTCCTGTGTGCTTTTCCATGTGAGCCCCTGCCCTCAGACAGACCCTTGCTGTACAATCCCGAGTGCACTGGGGAATTTATACAGGGATGCTGCTTGTGTTAAGGGGCACTGTTGGCTGTGTCCTGATGCAATGGGAGACGTAGTGTCAAAACTGATTACGTTTTTCTAACCCCACAGGGTGAGTGTGGCCAAAGGGACAGGTAGGGCTGTGTCTTTACAATAAACCCATCTCCTACCATTTAACTGTCCCGTCATTGGTTTCTCTTTCCCCAACTTTGGTCAAAAAGAAAAATCACGACTGCTTGACGTTACAGCAAAAGACCAGCCTGTAAGTCCCTGACCTTGGACCATGAGGAGCTCTGCCTGGGAGAATTCAAGGGGTCTTTACAGTACAGAGTTTGGAAAGAGGTTCTCCAACACATTACTCCAGGTAAGCAACATGTAGGAGGGGAGTTTGAGGCCTGTGTAGCTTACAATGCCATGTCACTGGATTGAACCCAGCGATAACAGCCTCGGATTATAGATCAGAGAATCCCCACAGTATGGAAACAGGCCATTTGGCCCAACAAGTCCACACCGACCCTCAGGGTATCCCACCCAGAACCATGCCCCTAACCTGCACATCCCTG